TGGGGCTTCCCTGGCATTGGTGGCTCTTCTGTCCCAAGGACCGGCCCATAGATTTCCTCTGCTCTCCTCTCCTCTGTCACATCTATTCATCTCCACCTCCTGCCTTTCATCCCCAGAGCTCAGGTGGAGCGTCACTAGCAGCGGTGGCTCTTCCGTCCCAAGGACCGGCCCATAGATTTCCTCTGCTCTCCTCTCCTCTGTCACATCTATTCATCTCCGCCCCCTGCCTTTTATCCCCAGAGCTCGGGTGGGGCTTTTCTAGCAGCAGTGGCTCTTCCGTCCCAGGGACCGGCCCATAGATTTCCTCTGCTCTCCTCTCCTCTGTCACATCTATTCATCTCCGCCCCCTGCCTTTTATCCCCAGAGCTCGGGTGGGGCTTTTCTAGCAGCAGTGGCTCTTCCGTCCCAGGGACCGGCCCATAGATTTCCTCTGCTCTCCTCTCCTCTGCCTATCCGCATGTCAGGCACTGGATCCAGCTGCTCCTCCTCTTCCTCAGCAGCCACCTCCAGACTTGGGGGCTGTTGACTCTCCATCTGGGCCTGACGGACAGCCCAGGCTCTGCCCCCCCTCTCTCTGCCAGCTCCATTCCCTATTCCCCCTCGGAGCTCCCAGATTGCCCTGATACTGACCCTGCCTCCCACACCTCCTCCTCCCCCTCCTCTGATTCGGCTGCTGGAGGGGCTGGCGGCTGACAGGCGACAACACACAAAATCCATGGGCTGCCCCCCATGCCTTTAGCTTTGGGGTCCCAAAGATGGTTGCATCTCAGAAGGAGCTCAGTGTGAGGTTGAGGAAAACATTCGCTTAGTGACTGTTCAAAGCTACAACGGCACTGGGGGGAAAAGTGACTTACGACCATTTTTCACATCCCCATGGCCATATTATTTACATTCGGATGCTTGACCCAAGCGGCTCGCATTTACGACAGTCGCAGTGTCCCCCGGGATCCCCCTTTGCGACAAACCAAGTCCCTAGGGGAGCCAGATTCACTTAAGAACCGCGTGACTAACTTAGCAATGGCAGCGATTCGCTTCACAACACTGGCAAGAGGTCGTAAGATGGGGCAGAGCTCACTTCAGTGAGTCAGACGGCTGTGAAGCGAATCCGGCTTTCTCACACACACCCGGGAGAATTACGACCGTCATAAATGTGAGCCCGTGGCCAAGCGCCTGAATTTTGATGACATGACCAGGGGGGGGGGACGGCTGCAAGGGTCGTGAGTGCGAAAGATGGCCGCACGTCCCTTTTTTGCAGTGCTGTTGTCCTTTTGGAACGGTCGCTAAACAGACTGTCATAAGTCGAGGACTTCCTATGTATCACCAGATTCTGCGCAGCACCGGAACGGATGCCAAAATCCAGGGGTTGTTTTCACTCCTAAATTCTGCTGGCAGCGCATCTCCCACTGTTTGCAAACCCCCCCCCCCCATCACACACACAGATACACACAGTCACACACACACACAGAGTGCTTTGTTGACAGAATCCTTTTCTGACCAATCTGGAATTTAAATGGGAGGCTTTTTCCATTTAAAGCTTATTTATTTTGGCCTGGAAAGACAAGCGTGCAGCTGAGAGAGCCCACAGCTGGATTGAGCCGGGGGGGGGGGTGGTCTTTGTAGCCCCTTCCCCAGCTTTTGGGAAGCAACGTGAAAAAGAGGGAAAGACTTTGTCAAAAAATAAATGTAAATAAGATTTCCTTCCTCTGGCTTCAGAGAATCCTACCTGGAGGGGGCAGGGGGGGCAAGGAAGAGGTTTCTCTTTTGGGGATGCTTTGGGGAGGGGGCTGAGGATTTGTCCCCCTCCCCGCCGCTTTGCAGCAGTTGGGGAAATAAAATAAAATCAAACCTGCCTGGCCTCGCCCAGAGACGGCTGGGGCTTTCCTTCTTTTGATGGCAAGACAAGATGAGGTTTTTTTTGGGGGGGGGGAGGAAGGGTGGAGGGGAAGCGAACATCTCCTGCGGTTGCCATGGCAACTGCATCAGCAGCAATTAGGCTGTCCTGGTTTTTGTGAGAAGAGAAGAGAAAGAGGGGGGAGGGGAGGGGGAGGCTAGGGAGGGAGGGAGGGAGCTCGCAAGGAATGGGGTGGGGTGCTGTTGTCCGTGGGGCAGCTGGCTGGCGGAGAGGCGGCCCCTGGAAATGCTCCACAGCTGCGGTGGCGGCTTTCGTTTCCCCCAAAGCGGCAACGTTGCCAGAAAGCAGCAGACAAACACACACACACACCCACACACACACACACACACACACACACACCCCCTTTGTATGGGGAGTTTCCAGCCTCTCCCCCTGGCAAATCTCTCAGTCCTCGATGTAATGGCCACAACGGGGAATGCAATTCCCATGGCTAAGTGAGACGCACCTGCTTTAATCCCCTTTTCCGCCCCAGTTGTTAAGCAAATCACACGGTCGTTATGCAAAACCTGTTCCCCTCCCCCCATTGACTTGGCTCATCGGAAACCGTCCTGGAAGGTCACAGGCCGTCTCACACACACACACACACACACACACACACACACACACACACACA